GTGCCGTTACGTGGAGTCAACGAGTCACGGTGACGTGTTCGAGCCGTATCCAGCCCGAGCGCCTGCTTCAGCAGGCGAGAGGGCGCGCGACGATGTCATCTAATTATCAGAGATGGCAAAGGCATTTCGTTCGGTGGTCGACGACGGGACGAGGGATGCTAAGTCATCTTCGATCGTCGTCCTTATGCTTAGAATAATAATTTCGTTTCATGCCCAAATGCGGCGACTGCGAGCAGCCAGCAGTTTTTTAACTTATCACATGTCATCTTCACACACCCCTCCACGTGTCATCTTCCAGCCATGATGACCATGACTTAGTCAGTTGGAAAACCACAGCCTCGAAGAACAAAACGGAAACACCTGTTTCACGGCCTATCGTGTACGAACTGAACCTCAAAATCAGACACTGAAAGTGAGGTAAAGAAATAAAGCGTTCTTTGAGAGCTGCAGACAAGGCACTTGTGACATGGTCACGCGTTTTCGGAATAATGCTACAAAGCTCGTCGGTTCTTTAATTACCAGTTTTATTTGCACAATGGGCGCTTTCCGTCGACCAACATTGCAGAAATCGATTAGACCAGTATGAAATTATCTTATTTACTCATAATTTTTAATTGGTCTCACCGACGACCACCGATCATCTTGTCCAAATCGCCGGCCGGAGCGACGTAAACATCTCCGATAACAAGTATTTACCCTATACAAGGATACGACATTTTCAGACGTCTTCCTCTCTAAGGAGAGGATGGTTCCCTCCTTCGCTACCATAAGAAAGGCCTCGTTCCATCTGAGACACTTCTTTTGCCTGTTAAACAAATCCAGGCACATGCTTTCATCACTCGTCAGGAAGATTTACGAACCGGGCCGATTTTCTGAGGTCGATCTTCACGAAACGTAGTTTCTGTACAGCGTAATAGTCACATATGACAGGATCGTTTGAGCAGACGTGTGAGGAACTCTTTCATTCTATCATCTGATGTGGATCAGTGAAGGACTTAATGGACGTTTCCTTGACAAGCTCGAGTCAAAACCTGTCGAAGACGAAGCCGCCTCTGAGCATACTTCCATGTCTCCGCTTACTGTTCGCTAGTCCTTCATGACATGTCAGTTAACCACATCAACGACGTCGCGCAAAAAGCGACGGTCTGCAAAAGTCAATGACCAATGAAGACAATGTCCCTAATGCCATCAACGCTGAAACTACCATTTTCTAAAACGGTCGTGTATCCTTGAAGCATCTAGCTGAGCACGTAATCGAACGGCTTACTGGTCGATTGGCCAGCCGAGGAAACGTACGAAGGAAAACCGACGAGAGGAGAGGCTAGATGACAAGTCGAGGCAGCGTGTTCGAGATCTTCCACGCGTGCCTTCATAATTCGACGGCTAGCCCGTCTAATCATGTTACAGAAGATATGTCGAGGCAATCATAGAAATGACTTAGTAATAATAAAACAGAACTAATTAGATCATGCAGTTTGAGACAAAACAGCCGTCAGCGGAATGCCCAAAATGAGGCTGCTGTCTAGCGGATGCACCGATATGTCTGCCGCTAATCGTTGCCTCAGCTGCCACCGTCATCTCTCTCATCGGAAATAAGGGAGAGTCCAGCGGCCGAACTTTTCTTCAATTAATGTTTATTTAGCAAACGAATCCATTCTTTGACTGAAGTCGCAGTCGGCGCCGCAAGAATGATGATCGATTGATGGTGACTGTCAGATGACCGATCGGGGGGTCACAATAATTTAATCAATGAGGGCATAGCACCTACCATGATCATGGTAGGCTGGTACACCGCTAGCACTGTAAGTCGATAGCGCTGTCCGCAGGTAATGCATGTCTGAGTCTATTACAGATTCAGCGTGCGGCACGGATCGATCTGATCAACCCATTGGCCATTGGTTCGCTCTCCCATTTCTCGAGACTGCTGCGACAGGAACTCAGTCTAGAGACAAAAGGTTCAACAACTGCATT